AGCAATTATTAACACACTTTATAAGAAAAAACCAAAGAAAAGATGAACGTGGCGTTCACCCAATGGGCAGTACAAAAATGAGATAGATTTCATAATGTCTAACAGACCACAAATATTTCAAAATATTGAAACACTAAATGTAAACTACCCTTCGGACCATAGAGCACTCAGAGCTGTAATATCACTAACAAAACCAATCAAAAGTAGAGCCAAATACAAAAACGACCAGCATAGTACGCTCAAGAGCGAGGAAGAAATATCAATATTCAAAGAGAAATTAAAGAATCATATTGCGACTCTACAAAATATAAATCCAACCGAGTCAGTACAAGGTTACTATGACAAACTAATAAATTATATTAAAAATAGTCTACAGTGTGAAAAAAAGTCAGTAAATTCAATGAAAAACCACAGCATTCTATCAGATTACACAAAAAACATTATAAAAAGAAAACAAGAAATACAAGGAATAAAAAATAAATCTAGATCCATTAAAAATAAGCTTAAAGCGCTTTATAAGCTCACTAGTAAAAATATAAAAATATATTACAACAATCATAGATTGAAAACCATTATGACACATCTAGAACAAAAAGGAAGCTTGAAAAAAGGGTATAGAGCATTAAAACAAATAAAACGTGGATTGAAGGTCTTAACAAACAAGGAGAAACCACGTACAATCGCGAGGAAATATTCTACACAAATACTAGTGCAAATTTAAGTCAGGGCAAATCGGTAGAGCCAGAATTACCGGAAAAACGTATAGAGCCAATATATTGCAAAGAAGTTATGGAGGCGATACAAAAATTAAAACGCGATAAAAGTCCTGGTTCTGACAATATTACTAACGATGCCATAAAGGTAGCACACGACATACTGATCACACCATTAATAAATCTTTTCAATGCGATAATAGAAACCTCTGAAACACCATCGCAATGGTCAGAATCTATTATTATCCTGATCTACAAGAAAGGAAATCCAAAAGATATCGGTAACTACAGACCTATTAGCTTACTGCCAACCTTATATAAACTCTTTTATACAATAATAAACAAAAGAATAAGTGTATCGCTAGAGCAAAACCAACCCATTGAACAAGCCGGTTTCGGAAAAGGAAACTCAACAATAGACCATATACACACCGTAGAGATGATAATAGAGAAATACCACAACAACAAAACAACAAAGACCACTGCCCATCGCATTCATTGATTACCAAAAAGCCTTCGATACTGTCCTACACGAGAACATATGGGTGACTTTGCAAGCTCAAAATGTAGAGAAAAAATACATAGACATTTAAAAAAATATTTATAGCAATAGCTCTAGCAGAGTGAAGTTAGAAAGTACTTTCTAGCCCAAGCTTTACGGTAGAAAGAGGAGTAAGACAAGAAGACCCTCTATCTCCTAGAATTTTCATAGCGATAATAGAATCAGTTATAAGGAAACTTAATTGGAAAAATCAAGGCTTGTTTATAAATGGTAAATACTTAAGCCACCTAAGATTTGCGGACGATCTAATATTATTTTCAGAAACTACCACTCAGTTACAGTATAAGATCGAGACTCTACATATGGCTAGCAGAGAAGTAGGCCTACAAATAAATTTAAGTAAAACAAAAATATGACAAATCACACAAAATCAACCATTACAATAGACGATGAACCTTTAGAATACATAGATGAATACATTTATCTCGGCAAACAAGTTGGATTTAACAGAAATAACAACAAACTAGAGGTGGAAAGAAGAATTAAACGTACTTGGAATAAGTACTGGAGTTATAAAGAAGTATTTAAAAGTAACATGCCCTTAACATTGAAGAAGAAGGTTATGGACTCATGTCTTATCCCATGCTTGACATATGCATGTCAAACATGGAAATTTACAAACAAAACCCGGAATAGAATAATTACTTGCCAGAGGGGTATCGAGCGTAGCATAATGAATGGAAAAGACTACAAAAAATAAGACACACCAAGATAAGAGCGAGCTTAAAGACAATAGATGCTTTAAGTCACGCTCAAAGACTGAAATGGAAATGGGCTGGGCATGTGATACGATTAAAAGACCAGCGATGGACCAAAACGGTTACGATATGGAAGGGCCCAACCGGTAAACGCTATAGGGGAAGGCCTTATACCCGCTGGGAAGACGACATAAAGAAAATAGCCGGAAGTAAATGGCACCTTATAGCTCAGGATAGAGAGAAATGGCAAGCTTTGGAAGAGGCCTTCACCTGAGAGGGGTTCCTGCAATTATAAATATATATATATATATATGTACTACCTAAAATTAACCTATAAGATTGTAAGCAGGAAATAAAAGGCTTTTTTATTTTATTTTATTAATATATCTATTTATTTTTTTATTTATTTATTTATTAACACCAACAAGACATACACTAACAAAATCATAATAATATAATTACAATAAATAATAAATTCTAAGTGCTGCCTTAATTATAGGTGTTACACACATTTCATAAAAGATAGACACAAATACAAGTAGTGAATTAAAATAAATACAAAAATTATGGGAATATTATATAAATTAAGTTAAATATAAATTGAATCAGAAATTAATATTATTTGATAATTTAAAATATGCATCATTTCAAAATTATAAAAATTAAATTGTATATAAATTGAATCAGAAATTAATATTATATGATAATTTAAAACATGCATCATTTTATAATTATACAATCGTTAAACATGAAAAATAATCTCATTAATTTATTGTTCAATGTTGACACTGATTAAAACTTAGCACATTTATTTAAATTTTCTTAATAAAAAATATACCTTTTGACTATAAATTACAATTATTCGATGAGAATAAATAAAATAAATTACGTTTAAATATCGAGAGATTATCTGAAAAAATATCAATATCAACTTTTCTATCCTTTTGTTTATCATCAGTAGTCGTTATGGCACCAATACAATTCTTATGTGTTAATTTATACACAGCATTATAACTCAACATCAATCTATTAATCGGAGAACAGCGTCCTTGACGTGAGCGTGTGTTTTTTTCTACGAATGGTATAAAAGACGACGGCCTTTTAGTTTTTAATGGGGCACGAATATTTATTTGAGCTAGTAAGTAGGAACTATCAATGACGCCATTCACCAACTTATGCAAGAAAGTAAGGTCAAGGAGCTGCCTTCGATTCGAGAGTGACTGAAGCTTAAAATAATTTAACTTATCCTCGTAACTCCTTAGAGTTTTAACTAGATTATGCTCGTAAGATAAATGCAAAAGAAATCTCTTTTGTATCCTTTCGATTCTTTGTGAGTAAATATTAAAGTGTGGATTCCATACAACGCTGCAGTATTCCAAAATACTTCGTACCAAAGCTGAGTAGATAATTATTTTAGTGCGTGCATCCTTGAATTGCTTACAGTTACGGAAGAGGAAGCCAAGAGTCCTAAAACCCTTGCTAACAATATTATCTATGTGGATGTTATAGCGGAGCTTATTGTCAAGCGTAACTCCTAAATCGCGTATGTGAGGAACTTCAGATAAAATACGACCATCAATGTTATACGTTGTTGCAAGAGATGTTTTCTTTCTAGAAAATTTTATAACATGACACTTATTAGCATTTAACAACATGCCGTTGTTACGACACCATGATAACAAATTATTTAAGTCTTCCTGTAAAATCTCTGCATCAGAACTTGACGAGACAGGTCTAAAGATCTTTAGATCGTCAGCGAACAGATAAAACTTTGAATTACTAAAGCAACTGCTAATGTCGTTAATGAATATGTTAAACAACAAAGGCCCCAGATGAGACCCTTGAGGTACACCAGTATAGGCAAAAAACGGTTCAGAAGCATAACCATTAACGACAACAGTTGATGACCGATTGGAAAGATACGATTTGAACCAGTCCAGCAACGGGCCTGCTATACCTATACCTTTGAGTTTCATAAGTAAAATAGAATGATCAACCTTGTCGAAGGCCTTACTGAAATCTGTGTAGATTGCATCAACGGATTTGCCAGTATCAAGAGCCTCAGTAATGTCTTCCACAAAGGAAACAAGGTTAGTGACTGTTGATCTAGCTTTCACAAACCCATGCTGCTCAGATGCAACATTTTTTTTAAAGTGCCATGAAACAACGGGACATATAAGTAGCTCAAATACTTTTGCAAAAACAGAAATAATGGAGATAGGTCTATAATTTTTAACCGCCTCTTTGTCACCGGTTTTGAACAAAGGCAACACCAGAGCTTTTTTCCATAAGGTTGGATATGTACTAGTGCTAAGAGATCTGTTGACAATCAATGCAAGTGGCAAAGCCAACGCACTAGCGCAATTACGGACAAATATCGATGGAATACCATCTGCTCCAGCTCCTTTCCTAATATCAAGTCTTTTTAAAACATTGTAAACCTGGTCCACTGTATAAGATATACAAGCAAGATACACATTACTACAAGAGTTCATAAGATTAGAGTTATTATTAAAATTTTGATTAGTATTATTGCAACTGTATACTGACGAAAAATAATTAGCGAAAACATTGCAAATGTCCGTTCCATTGGAAACAGATATCTTGTCGTTTTTAATTTTTGAAGGATACGAACTATTGCCTCTCTTTTGTTTTAAGAACGACCAAATTAATTTTGGGTTTGATTTTAAGGAGAGTTCAAGTCGTTCTATATATTTAGCGTAGGAGTATGCTAACAATACCTCACATCTTTTTTTCAGTAAATCAAAGGTAAGCTTATCGCGAGGATTGTTAAATTTGCGAACTTTCATCCTATATTTATATTTTTCTTTAATGCACTTGATCAGACATGGAGTAAACCAAACTGGATATTTATGACTGCGTGATTTCGTTTTAGGTATATATTTCCGTATTAATTTACTAATTTCATCATAAAACAGTGCAACCATATCGTCAACACAAAGACATTCACCCAAAATTTCCCTCCAGTCAATTTCATTTAGACCTTTTATTATGTTTTCATAATCAGCCTTATGAAAACAAAATTTTGTAATGGTGTTATTAGGGACTAGTGATACCGGATTTGTAAAATCCATTGAAAAAACCAATGGCGGATGAAGAGGATCAACACATGTTAAAGGATCAGGACATGATAGAATATTAACAGTGTTAATATTGGACAATACAAGATCGAGCACCTTATTTTTACAGTTTAAGATTTGATTGAATTGGTTCAATTCATTGCATGAGAGAAAGTCTATTAAGAGATTTTGTAGGTAACTGTTGGAGTGCTTTGCACAAAGATGCCCATGTGGCTCCAGAGACCATGTTATACTACTTAGGTTGAAATCGCCAGCAATAATTATATTTTCATCGAGTGATTCCAATACTCGACTTGAGTTATTAATAAAGCGCTCAAGAATGTGTATTTGGACGGGTGGGGGGATATACACAGCACATACATAAAGCTTTTCGGATTTTCCTTGGACATTTTCTACTTCTACGCAGACCCAAAGATCCTCGCACTCGGACTCGAAATTAAAGAGCCGCTCAGAATTTAATTGCTTAGATACGGCTATAAGTACACCGCAACCATTCTTTGAAGCATGAAACCCACTACTCTCCCGATCGCGTCTGTATACAATGTAACGATCATCAAAGATTTCAGAATCGAAAACACTCGCATTTAACCACGTTTCCGTCATAATTACAATATCGTATGAATTACAAACTATGTTATTAAATAGATCAATTGTTTTTGATCTGAGACCCCTAACGTTTTGGTAGTAAATTGAAATATTATTCTGAAAGTGCCTTTTAGTAAAAAAAAATATATACAAATTTAGCGCCTCTCTATGACAAATTTTTCACAGTATCATGATTTCGTATATGGATGTAGTTTGAACCTTCAGATTTTCTGACAAATATTTTTCCATCACGAACCCAAACGAAACGGTAGCCGAGCTCTTTTGCTTTAAGGCGAGCTGCAGCATGTAGAATTTTTCCTTCTGGTGTAAGATTTTCCACAACGTATATTGGAGTATTCTTGGCGCTTGCGATTCCCAAATGACTAGTGCTAATTTTATCGGTACTATTTTTTTTATTATATTTAATAGTAGCTGCTAAAAATTCATCACGAAGTCTAGGACTACTGAACTTTACTAATATCGATCTTGGTCGAGGACTTTTAGTATTCATCTTCGCTAATCTTGCACAGAAATGAATATTTTCTGGGGCTATCGGGCATTGTATAATTTTGCCTAGTTGTTGTACCGTGTTGACCAAATTCTCTTGTCTGTTTTCTGGAACACATTGGATTTCGATATTTGAAGCACGTGTCTGCTGTTCAAGTTGTGTAAGACGAGTTATGATAGTCTGGTTAGCTGCTTGCAGAGTTTCGTTCTCCTTGATAATCTGTTGCATTTGTGCTGATTGATTTGCATGTTCAGTTTTAACTTTATCTATATCCTGGCTTAATGACGACAAGGAGGTTTCAAATGAGGCAAGAGTATGTTTTATTTCCTGAATTTTAGGGTGTAAATCATTACTGAAAATATTGCGTAATTCCTCTCTGATTATTTCTCTTACATTGTTAGCCGATAAACAGGAGCAAGTAGAACGACTTTTTACACGCTGAGTTACGAAGTCCATTTCCATTGGTGAGTTACGAACTGGTGTGTTGGAGTGATCTCCTCTCGGTTGTTTACATCTGCATACGTCACATATCCATGAACTTTTCATTTCCGAGCTCATCACACTAAAGTCTTGCATTGTAATTCGCGTGCACGCAACATGATATTTATCATTGCATCGGCGACATTGCAATGACATGGTGTTATCTAGTGCGTTAGGGCATCCAGCACAATCAAAATTTGCCATGATGTAATTTATAAAAATTGTGTGCAAAAATAAAAAGAAAAAAGAAAAATGTCTTGGCAGAGTTTGGATTTGAACCCTCAACGTGTGCTAGCGTGTTGTCACGTACTCTACGGCTGCGCCACAGTCTATGTATCTTGAGATGGCGAATTAGTAAGTAATATTACACTAGCTTAGCACTAGCATCTACAAAGAATAGTATTCGAAGAAACTCGCCTTTATAGCCTACCTTCACTTATCTACATACTTACCAGATATATTCAAATTATTTGATTATATTATTAGATTATATACTTACTAACCTTTTTTTAATGCTGGGAAATGCATTTACGAATACCACTTCAATACATACATGCGGTTATGTGGGACTCACCGGCTAGAAACGTCTCAATGGGGCGTCGCAGGATCGAATTTTAAAGGAGAATCATGTTGGTTGTGATTCTATTATTTTAAGACGTGACGTTTAATCCACGTTACCATTTGCCCAGATAATGCCGTAAGTTGGATGTTCTCGTTTTCCTCTTGGTATAGAAATCTTGATGTGTGGAAGTACCACTTTACCTTGTTCTTCAATTCACTTACAGTGTAACTAATGTCTAACATCCTCACAATGTTTTTGCTAGGCACTGTATCTTATGTTTCATTACGTTCTGGCATAATTATGTGAATCGTCACTTGTCCTTCTTTACCCATTTAAGTTATTCTACTGTCATGTGACTTATGCCCTATTACCTCTTGGTATGAGGATATCAAATGTAGCTAAGGTGTCTATACTCTTCGTTTTTTTATGTGCACATGTAACTTACGCCGAATTACCTCATAAGAAAAATAAGATCAATTGGTATAAGCGGCAAAAATCAACATAAAACAACATCGAATCATATAAATGAAAGTGACCATTATTGCCTTTAGTTCTCTTGATTATAGAACTGTTTCCTTTTTTACGATATGACAATAAATAAAAAAGTTATGTCCATTTTTCTGCAATTTCAAACTTTAAACAGCTCTCCTGAACAATTTCGTTTTTGTCGCTTATACCTTATTACCTTTTAACCGTCGATATATAGCCTAGGGCCTTTCTCAATAAACGGGTTACCTAATGCAAAAATATTTTTTCAAATCGTATTAGTAGTTCCTGAGATTAGCGCGTTCAAACAAACAAACTCTGCCTCTTTATAATATTAGTATAGATAAAAAAATTAAATGTTTCTAGTAAAATGTGTTTCCCCGCAAGTGCTGATGTATTTGCACTATATCAGCTTATATAACACACCTGGGAGCTTTGACAAGATGTCTTTACAACTATTTTTATTTTTAGTATTCGTGGCAAATGGCAATACATATATATAAACATGTCACTATGTGTGTTTAATATTAATGTAGGTTTAATATTAATGTGGCAGTTTGGAAAATAACTATCGTGTTAATGAGATAGCGTACTCATACATACATAAACTTTACTTTGTAACTTATCTTCTGAAATACTAATATGATTATTTTTCGGGTTTTCTAAAGAAATGCCGATTATGAGAAAAATATCTGTGGTAAATAAATCAAGTTACTCAGCCTTGACATTTTCTTACGCTACCAAGTACCAGACAAGTCTTCCGTTTTAGTGTTAAGAAAGGTTTATATCTTTATATACAATGAATTCATGTAATATTTATTCGAAAAAAGTTACTATTTAGGAGAAGGAAAAAAACAATGGTTTGAAAGGTCAGATTTTTTAATAACAATATGCCCGTGGCATCTTAGGGCCTCAAACATCGTCTGTTACCTTTTGCTTTAAAAAAAAGTAGTCCATTCATAGTAATGCCCAATTTTTTATAGAATAATTCATGAAAACCATTTTATGAAGTTGCTTTTGTTTGCTTTCTCGCTGAATTTTAATTCATGGCAGATTAATTTATCTTATTGCTATTGTATTTTTGTTCTTTTTGTCGGTTAAAAATTTTTTCTACGTCATTTTATGAAAATTTTCTTTAAGATACTTGATATACGTGTAATGTTATTTTACTACGCGAAGGCATGTAATGCAATTAGAGAGAGAATTCGAAAGAATTTATGGAGCGTAATAAGTGCAAAGTGGATTTTAATAAACACTTATTTCGTACAAGGCATTGCGGTATTTTTCTTAGCGTCGTAGCAACTTCAACTTTTGAATTCATTTTGTTATTTGTGGGTAGGAAGACTGTAACAACTATTATATATATATATATATATATATATATATATATATATATATATATATATATATATATATATATATATATATATTTTAATGCATAAATAAAATCTTCTTCTTTTTCTTTTATCCAAATATTGTTGAAGCACTCGCATGACATATACATAGTTGTAAATTCAATTGTGAAAGTGGAACGACTGTCACCTAAAATACAGGCTCTGGTTTAGTTTAGGAGATAGTAGTTCAACTTATTTTTTGACACTTTTTGTACAACTTGCTTTACTTACTTTAACCCCATAAATTGTCCCTTTATATAGTACAATAAATAAATTATTATTATTACTATATAATTCCTTTGAGACATCTAACACCTCAGTCTCTCTCGTGACCATGATTGCTGTAAAGCATTCGAAACGTCGGGAACCAAAAATCAAAATAAATTCGCGAAAAAATCCGAACAGATAGTTATATTTAAAATATGAAATATTCGCATAAATCAAAGAAAGTATTATACTTCATTCTTGTTTCCATTTTTAACAAACGTTTTGGTGCGCACTCTATAAATTTAATTAATTAAATTAACTATATAGTAAAAACATAAGTTTGACTTGATTAAATGTTTATCTCAAAACACTAAATACCAAAAGAATGTGAAATGAAAAGAGATTTCAAAAACGGATTTGAAAATATTTTGCAATATTTGGGTGGTTTTATTTTTAAGGAAAGTTGTAAAAATTACAAAGTTGTTTTTCTTAAAGTACCTACCTTATAAAACATTAAAAGAGAGGGATCATCCTTTATCATAAATTTTAGGTATCTTAATAAAACGAAGTATTATTACTTGTTACACTTTTATATTGTAAAAGTTTAGCTATAATTTTGGGAACGTAAGTATACATCATACAAAAGATAATGTACAATATACTAGCGATTTACCCTTGCTTCGCTCAGGTGAGTCCCTAGTTCCCCCCGACGTGCGTTCACCTTGTCGTGGTGGGGGGGCTCAGTAGTGCCCGGCAATACAGCCGGGCGTGAAGCCAAGAAACGCACAGGGAGGCGGCCCACTTCGGAGGGCGGTGTTCCATGCGGGTTGCTCCTGGTACTTCTCTGATAGCAGAGTGGACCTTGGAGCAACCCCGTGGTTGTTGTGGTTTGCTTCGGCAGACCTGCCGTCGGGGCGTCGTAGTTGAATGCGTAAGCGATTCTGCGACGCCCTATTGAGACGGGGGAAGGTTTTGTTGGGTTTTAGTGGGTAGTACTGGCTTTACCGGTGAGTCCCACACCTCGTGCGTAAATGCATTTCCCAAAGTTAAAAAAAGGCCCTAGTTCCGATGTGTGTTCACCTTGTGGTGGTGAGGGGGCTTATCAGCGTTCGGCAATCCAGCCGCGCTTACCAACACATTCAGCGATTCATTTTTATATTATAGATTGGTCCAAGGATACTATTTACAGAGTAAGTGACGACTTTACATTGGATATTTACTATAAAATGCCATAGCGAGTCAAAGAAAATATTAGTGTAAATTTCCACCTTATCAGAGCTGATTTTGTTAAATTAAATCACAAAGACAATATTATAGAATATGAAATAGTTATTTATATAAAACAAACATTTTTTTTACAAAGTAGACGGTACTCAAAGAAAAGTTCAAATATAAATAATTAGTGCATTTATTACCCTTAGCTCTTTCGTTTGAAGTAAGATTTAAAAACAGACGGTAAGTGCGTCTCAACCAACGTATAAAACCTACGTCACGGATTTTTAAAGAGCGAAGGACGTTTTCTCATAATGTTTTATATTTTTTTACTGCATATTACTAGAATAGAAGTGGAATAAAAATGAATGCTACAAAGTTAAAACGGTGCCTGAAGTCGCAGAAATTCAACTTATTTAATTTGTTTCTGCTAATTATCTTTATTTGGTTCAAAGTAAAAAATATCAGATATTGTTAAGTTATCGAGGTCTTATCCTAGAACTGCAATTAAATCGAGGTACTTTAATAGAAGATTATGCTTAAAACGAAACAGTAACACTCGATATTGCCTATTGTGTTTGCATGAATGAAGTAGAATGTCAGATTATAAAGTCCATAGTAACTTAAATTCTAATCTTAATAGAAAATAATATGTTTGTTAATATTATTTATATTAATCATACTAAATTCTTGTCACTCGATAAGTTTTTAGGATATAAATAAAAATATACATTGTTTTACTATTTATTTTTTATTTTTATGGTACTTCTTCACATTGACACGGCTGGACGGATTTGGATGAAATTTAGTATACCAGTAGACTATGACCTGAAATGTAACACAGTATACTGTTTGGAATGCACCCGAGCGAAGTGAGAGTAAGTCGCTCGTTAATTATGAATTTTTAGCAATCTAATATTATAAAGAGGTAAAGTTTGTGAGTTTGTGACGTTGTAGGGGGTAATCTCTGGATATACTGAACAGATTTAGACGAAGTTTGGTAATAAGATAGTTGAGACCCTGGGAAGGATATAGGATACTTTTCATTCCGGAAATCATCCCTTAAGGTGGTGAAAATGGGGATGAAAGTTTGTATTGGGAATCAAGCTACGGACGTACCCGAGCAAAGCAAGATTGAGTCGCTAGTTTTATACATAAAAAGAAATCTTATCCTACTTAAATAGCGGAGAGATTAAGTTTGTAATAGAATATGATCTTTGAAATGAAATAAGCAGTCTTTTCTTAGAGCACATCTTAGAATAGTTTTTCTTGCGCTCCCGTTTCCTGCAGTCCCATTTTTATTTGTAGCGGTCTTTTTTATTTTTTATCTTGTAGGAAAATAT